ATTGCCCAATACTTGACAATTTAGGCAAAGCTAAATATTTTCAAAAGCTTAATGCTTTCTTTTCCCTTTCCTTTTTTTGCTTGTGTCTTAAGTTATAGTGTTGGATAAATTGTACCATTACAAAGGCACACAAAGATCTGTTAGAAAATAACAAGGATAAAGTGTGAGAAGACTACTCCCTAAGACTAGAAAGATGACACAGTATAAAAATACAGTCAGGGAAACAAGTGGTGAAATTATCACATTATTCCTCTTCCTTTACAGCATGGTTACCTTCTGTGGAAGTTACTGGCTGCCTAACAGTTCATAGAACTTAGAAGATATATGCATACATAGCTTTGAGTCACACTTCTGCTAGTTAGTTTAAACAGGTACCATTTGTTTAGATCATGTATACATTTTCTCAGTTAAAAATAGTTTTTACAGGGCCGGAGAGATGGCTCAGTTGTTAACAATCCTGACTGTTCTTGCAGAAGAGCCAGGTTTGAATCCCAGCACCCACATGGCAGCTAACAACTGTCCATAACTCCAGTTCCAGGGGATCTGACAGTCCCTTCTGTCCTCTGCAGGCATTGCATGACACAGGTGCACTTACCTACATGAAGGCAGTATATGCATACACATAAAATAAAAACAATAAATAAAATATTAAAAATGGTTTTTACATGTAACCACAAAGTCAACACAGACAATCATAATGTTAATAAATATAAAATCAAGCTCCATACACCTAAGTAAAATACAGTTTCAATTAGAGTGGAATTAGAAAGAGACCTTCAAATGAGTATTAAAACTCATTTTTGGGGGCTGGAGAGATGGTGAAGAGCACTGGCAGTTTGTGCAGAAGAAAATGGTTCAGCTCTCACCACCCACATGACAGTTAACACTCTAGTTCTAGTGGATCCAATGGCCTATTTTGACTTCTGTGGGCATGTCATGTGGTGAACTTAAATATATGCAGCAAAGCACTAAAAAGCATAAAAATAAAAATAAAAACTCACTGTGAAACATTTTCTGGACTTTAAACTTATATGAATTTTTAACAAAATAATTCATTGTTTAATAAGTAATCAGAACATACTTGTAATGCTGTCTGCAAGAGCACACCAATTTTCAAAAAAATCATCTGGAGTTTTAAATATGTGCAGTTTTAAAGAGCATAAATTTGACCTTATAAAGTTCTAAAATAACTTTATTATTTACCGTTGAAGCACATATCCAGAAGGAATTGAGTTGCAGTGTACTTGTTTAGAAACACACTTTAGTTCTTGTGCTGGATAGCTTTAGTGTCAACTTGACACACCTGGTTTGAGGGAGCCTCAATTGGGGAATTACCTCTATTGGACTGGCCTGTGGCCATGTCTGAGTGGCATCTTCTTGATGAGTGATGTGGGAGGGCCCAGCCCACTGTGGGTGGTGCCACCCCTGGGCAGGTGGGCCTGTGTTGCATAAGAAAGAAGGCTGAGAAGGGTCCAGAGGAGCAAGCCAGTAAGGAATGTTTCTCCATGGCTCCTGCCTCCAGGTTTCTGCCCTGAGTTCCTCCTACCTTAAACTCCCTGATGAACTGTGACCTGGGAGATGAAAGATAAAATAAACCCTTTCCTCCCCAGATTGGCATTTGTTAGAGTATTTTGTCACAGCAATGAAGAAACAAACCAGAACAATTCTATATTATTTGTTTTCATAATTTTATAAATAAAACTTAGGCATGGAATTCCATTGCCTACTTTTTATCATGTATCCATAATCTATTTATCAATCAATGTGTCAATTTATCCACTACCTGTCTGTTTTCTATATGTCTACTTAATCTATCATTTATTTATATATTCATAGACTATTTCTAATTTGAACAAAATGTTATTTGAATATTGGCACACTTGACTGATTCGTCATTGTTGGCCACTCAATAAAAATATGTTTGAGGGAAGTTAACCTATGTTCTTCTATTTTTAAGTCCTCCTTGCTCATTACTGAATTTCTTTTTAACTATATAGTTAACACATCCCGAAGGACTGCTGCAAAGAGTGCTGTAAAATGCTTGACAGCTGTTAGGACTTTGCAAACATCATTTTTCCTTTCATAATAGAACCTGAGCATCAGGAATTCTTCCCTTGCTGCCAAGTGTCTTTTGGTGATTTACGTAGTCTGCCATCACAAGAGAAAGCTGGCATTGTTGGATGGGGGATCCTTTCATGCTCTTTCCTTTAATTATTATTTTTTGACAAGTAAGTTTCTATTTCTTTTTCATTCTTTTTTAGATGATGCTCCATAAACAGGAGAAAAAAAAAGCAAAAAATAATACAAATAATTAAAAAATGGAGATATAAGCAAAGTTTTAGTTTCTTCTGTTACTTGGTTCCTATCAATAAAGAGTAATCTGAGAAAGAGTAACATTTTTGAAAAATATGTTAGATTTACTCTTAATGTGACATTTCTTTCATTCACATGAATGATACTTGATGAATACTTGATGATACTTCCATCAGTGTATTGGTCAATAAACCTCAATCATAAATATTCCAGTTTTCATAAGCAGAGCAAGAATAATGAAAAGTGAAAAATCAGTGTACGCCACAGGGCTGGAGAGATGGTTCAGCAGTTAAGAGCACTGGGGCCTCTTGCAGAAGACCTGGAGTTGATTCCCAGCACCCACAAGGTGCTAAAAACCATTCATAACTCCAGTTGTAGTGGATCTGACACCCTCTTCTGACTTCCGTGGGCACTGCATGACATGGGTGCACTTACATATATGCAGGCAATACACTCATATGCATAAAATAATTTAAAAAATTAAAATATTTTTAAAGTCAGTGTGCACATTCATTTTATTATTATTTTTCTTGGCTTAAATAGGAAGTAGGAAATTATCTAAAATTTACAGTTGTTTTAAAACATTGTACTAGTCAGAATTTTTGGCAGCTAACATAGCTACTTTAGAGCCAAATATTCGATTTTGATCTAAGATTACCTAAAGCCATGCAACTATACATTTGAATATATAAAATCCATGAATAATGGTTATTTTTTTCCAGCTTTCTAAAAGTATCAGATAATAAATATTTTCTCCTAAGCCTTGTCTCCCCTCCTATCTTTCTCTCTATAGAACTATAGTCCACTTGCATATATTCATGAGTAATAAGAGTTGTCATATTTCCCAATTCTTCTAACTGGTTGTCTTTGGCAAATGAATAGCCTCTCTAAAACAGCTCAGTAGAAAGTTAATACGTGTAAATGAACCTCCACCTCCCCAGTTCTTCTTAGCTTAGCAGACACCAGAGATTTCTCCTTACTGCCCACCATCTACATACCTATCTCTGATCATATAGATGATTATGAAAGGCAAAAATCTTCCAAAAATGCTTATTTTCCAAACAATGCTTTGTTTAAATATAAACATAAAGAAAGCAAATACTTTTTCAAACAGAAAAGACTAAGAATTTGTAAATCATTCCAAGAAAAATCAGTAAACCACAACCTCCTAATTTTGCAAAAAAAAAAAACATGAAAGCTTTCCTTCTGCAGAGAGCTTCTTTCTCTCTGTAATCTCTGTCACATATCGTGATTATCTCAGGAAGCTGGTCTATTATGGTCTTTAACTCTAAATAAAATATATAACACCTTAAAAATCTAATGCTGTTACAAAGAAGATGATGTGACCATCGTCTCACTACTAGCACACAATACTTTTTGAGTCATTTGCTGATAAATTTAGTATAATGTGAAGTGTAAGATTAGAACTTACTTCCCTTTAAATTAGTTAAAAATATGCATCATGAGGCAGTAAGCGGTGAAATAAGTAATATAATTGAAACATTTTAATAAATCATTTTAATGTTTGAAAAAGTGTGTGAAAATTAAAAATAAAAACAAAACAATGAGAAACAATGTGAGTTTAGCTGAGGGAAATACACTAAAGGAAGATGAGTTCCAATGTTGGATTGTATATTGTGACTCTTTCCTGTTGTGAAGTATACTTGAGAAAACAATTGCAACATCATCTTCCACACCAGATGTTCTTTTTCCATGCAGCATGCTACTCTTCCCACTCATATGGTCTAGATTTCCTTTGCTTGTGTCTGTATGGAGCTTATGACTGTTCTGATTAATAGAAAACAGTCAATATGGTTTATGACGTAGGATAATAAAAATTGTCAAACTCCACATGATTCTCTCTCAATTTGGAAACTGGCCTTGGAAATAAAATCTCCATCTCCAAAAGAAGTCCAAATTTTCCCAAAAGGAGAAACCATAGAAATCAGTTTAAAGGCCAGAATCATGAACCAAGGAGGTGAGTAAATACTTCTTAAGATAACCCTAGGCCCCAGTTTTGTGTAATTTGGTAGAAACCCCAGGAAACATGAGTATGATCAACCATGCTCACTGTGGCCTATCTGAATCCCTGCCTCTTAGAATCCTTGTGTACGATGGACTTATCATACTATGCCATTAGCTTATTGGCCAATTTGTTACACAGCTATAGTAACTGGAATATCTGTCTCCTCTTAAGTAAATACAGCATGAAAAGAGTTAAGTCACATGTGGATTTTACACTGATTTCTAAATGCACACTTAGAACCACTTGCCAGATGTTTTTATTTGATAACATATACATTTTAATCTTTATTAAAGCAAAAAAATGCAAAAATCAATAAAATCCTATTTACTTTCTACCTCCCTCTCTGTGTGTATATACACAACATTTCTATCTAACTTAGGATATTTGACCCATGCTGCATCTAATCTTGGTTCTGTTTGTTCAAAACACAGAATTCCATATGCCAAACTTCTCAATATCTCAGTAACACACTTTTCTTCAGAAGAAAAATAATTTATCTACCCCTTGAATGTGCTAAAATCCCTAGATGCCCTGAAACTCACTAAGTGTCATTTGTACTAATCTCCTCTGCAGCAGTAGTAAGGAATATGTAATGTTGAACACATGTACAGTTCTCAATTGATATCTCTTTAAAATTACTGACTCTAAGAAATTATGAGAGATCCTTATTTGGTTCATGAGCATGTTGATTGGGTGTTTATGCCATTGGGTGACATGCCTCTCTCAAGCCTTTCTATGCATCAGCATGATTACCCACCTGATATGAACTTTTTTCAAAAAGAGAAATTATGAGAAAAATTATTTGATGTGGTTGGCACACTTAATATTAAATCACTAAGGAGGAAATGTAGGGAAATCACATTCCTAACATACAATTTTAGAATTGGATTAGAGAAGTACTGCAATTACTTATTTGCATTTTAAGCAAATATGGATCATTTGAACTACAGACATTTGAACTTCTTTATCTGCTATAGCAATTCCCAATGGTTTGCTTAAGTTTCTTTTTCCTTTCTCATAATATAATTCTCTTTAGAACTATGTTAATGGAAAAGTCTCTTGTAATGATGAGTCAAATATCAATTACAACAAATGTACTCTTTGTTTGATAAGAGCCTTATGCTATCATTTTTCTCTAAATGTCTTAATATTTTTATGTCATAGTTGCTAAAAAATCTTATCATCAAAGGGACAATATTCAGATAAGCATAGTCTTTAAAAGCTTCATTTTGCATACTATTAGAATACAGCTCTGAATATAAATGTTCTAAAGATAACACTTTGAAAGAATGGTGTCATTATTAGGAATGAGCAGAAATTACCCTTAATGACCAATTTTCTAAAAACACGACTCTTTGGAAATGATACACTTAAAAAATCTTTTCCTCAGAAAAAATGATAGAACATTTCAGATTATTTTGAAAACTTGAACTTGAAAATTTAAGAACCTCTATTTCCCTCTCTGTCTCTCTCTCTCTGTCTCTGTCTCTGTCTCTCTCTCTCTCTCTGTGTCTCTCTCTCTCTCCAGTGTGTGAAACATCGTTTTCAAGGCAGTGTTTTGCATCAATTTTAAATAATATTCCATAAGATACAATTCTTGATAGCTTCATAAACATTTGACTTCTTTGGGGATTTGTAATAAGTACCCATGCGTTTATTTTGGTGAATTGGTATTTTAATAAATGCACAGAGTTTATCAGAATTTCTGATTGAACAATCATAAATTATAAAATCTCACATTATATGAAAAGCATATACCATGTGATATAGTAACTGACCTCTTTTCCATTCAACTGTAATTAGGAAGAACATGTGTATCAAAAAGGTCTTTCTTTAGATATTATCAAAATGTAAATGACATTAGAACCATGCATTAAATACTTAAAGAGATATGAAAAATAACATGAAGAAAAAAAGAAGTTGTATATATGCAATATTTTGTTTTGTGTCTTTTTCTCTTTTGTTTCTTTACTATTTTGTTTTAGTTTTAAATATTTTTATTTTTTTAATGTATATGAGTGTATCGCCTGCAAATAAGTGCACCCCTGTTGTGCAATGCCAGTGGAAATTAGAAGAGGGTGTCACATCCCCTAGAACTGGATTTATGGATGGTTGTTAGCTACCATGTGGGTTATGGGAATTAAACCAGGGTCCTCTGCAAGAACAGCCATTACTCTTTACTGCTGAGTCATTTCTCCAGTCCCTTGTTTCAGTTTTAAACATGAGAATATTGAGGACACATATTTATATTTATGTATATACATTTGTGGGCAAATTCTAAAATAATTATCACCTGTGTATCAAGTCAGGTTCTAGCAGAGCATAAAACAGTCAAGTAGTATGTGATAAATTTGTTATTGATATTTGACTTTCATAAATTGTAGGAGTGGATTGAAGAAGTAGATTGAATCCAATTCAGACTGCTTTCTTGCCAACAACATTTGGCCTGAATCAGTAGGAAATGACAGATACTCCACATGGAAATGGCTAAGTGGGCAAAATTGCTTTGTCACACAGAAGTGAGGACCAGAGTTCTAATCCTCAGAGTCAGAAGTATAACATAGGATCTGTACTCCTAGCATTCCTGTGGAGAGATAGGAGACACTGGTAGGAGACCCTGGAATCTTATGGGACTGTTAGCCTCCAGGGGAAAGTCAACAATATAACCTTATATCAAACATGGTGGAAGGTGAAGACTGATGCCTGATTTGTCCTCTGTACTCCACATATGAGCCAAGGTACACTGAGCCAAGAATGTAATGAAAAGTTGGAATTTGGGAGAATGGACTGAACTCTAAAGGAGGAACAGAGCCTTATGTACCTTTCTAACCTGAACTTTGATGATGGCATGACATATAGGATGTGCAGAGGACTGTGCTCTTCACTAAAAATGCTGCATGTACATTGCTTTATGGAATATGATGGAATAACTGTAGTGGAGGCTGGCAGATCTGAAGTCTTAACTGCTGACCCAAGGTTATAGAACGGGCCACCATAGTTAGAATGTTCATTTGATCCTGTATCAACATCAATACCAGTTGATTCTGGAGCACTCCATCTTCAATGATGTTCCATGGAGCTTAGGTGTAGAAGTCGCATTGTAAATTTGTCACTTAAGGCCTGGTCACCTCACAAATATTGTCTGCATTGACCAGTTGTAGGACTCTATTCCAGTCTCTATCTGGAAGCTTCTTTAATGAATGGTGAGAGGTACACTTGTCTGTAAATATAAAGATACACATTCAGAATATAGTAAGAAATTACATTGGTCTAGGAATGTGACAAGTAGAGATTTTTCTCTAGGGCCTGAGACATCTCCAGCCATGTGTACTTGGCTATGTTTACAGGATCAAATATCACTCTCTCCCAGTGAGCAGACCTTAAGTCCAATTAGACAACTATCGATTATCCCAAGATAAAAATGTCACTGCTGTACCAATGGAGATATTCTGCTATAAATGTAGTGGTTCATAGACTTTACAGATGAGGAGGATCATTGATTGGTTTTCTTCCTTAGCAGCTTGCACAGTGCCTTCTGATGTTACGAGACGTACTCTTCGGGGAGGAGGCTTCCAGATCAGTTCCATCTCAACTGCTCTAAGTTCTGTGTCTGAAGTATACCCTGTCTTCAGCAATAGGGTTTTACTTTCAAGTTCTGGAAGGCAATCAAGGACTGTGACAGTAATGTATATTTGGGGGGGGTGTCTCTTGGACAACCTTGGCCAATAACTCAGAGTTTTCCATTGCTTGGCACTGTGATTTTTGTTATATAACATTCAGCTTTCAGCTATACACACACACTCTGTGTGTGTGTGTGTGTGTGTGTGTGTGTGTATGAATGATTACATGTGGTGTAATTTTCAAAAGTTTTGAATAAATATGTTTTGTCTGTTTTTCACACCACATAAGCATTATTTGTCTCTCTTTCTTCTCTCTCCCCTTACATAGTCCTCCTCTATTCCCTCCCTAGTTAAAGTATCCTTTTCCTTGATTTCGTTTTTTATACCACCTGTCTCCTACTGTCACCCTCTTTCAACCTCCTTCTTTCCCTTTATATTTAATGGTTCTTTCTCATTTTTCAGTTCCTATGGTTACATCAGGATATATATTCACATCTGAGAATTTGGATATAGGATGCACAACGAGAGTGAATATGTGACACTTATTTTACTGAGTCTGTGTTACTTCAGTTAATATAACAATTTCTAATTTCTAATTCCATCCATTTACCTGCAAATTTCATGATTTCATTTTCCTTTGCCACTGAATAGAACTCCATAGTACAAATATACCACATTTTCATTATCCATTCATCAGTTAAGGAACATTTATTTTGTTTTCATTTCCTAGCTGTTATGAAAAGAGCAGCAACAAACATTGATGAGCAAGTGTCTCTCTACTAGAATACTGAGTCTTTTGGCTATATGCCAAGGAATGCTATAGCTACATCATGTGGAAGATCTATATTTTAGTTTTTAAAAGTTCTCCACACTGATTTCCATAGTGATTATACCAGTTTGTAATCTCATCAGCAGTGAATGGTGGGTTGTCTTTTTCCAACATCCTTGACAGAATCTGGTGTCATTTGTTCCCTTGATCTTAGCTTTTCTGAATGGTGTAAGATGAAATCTTAAGGTAATTCTAATTTTCATTTCCCTAATTACTAAGGATGTCAAACACTTAATTTGAAGTTGACATTTTTACTATGCTTGTCTGATACTGGGCAGTCTGCCCAGTGGTCTCGTCACAAAATTAGAGGCATATTATTGTCTCCTGTTGCTGTTATGAGGTTTATATAAGGTGTTGCAAAGGGAAGCACAAAGTATGGTGAGGAGAGCAAAAAGATGTTTGCAGATACAAGGTCTACTATATGCTGGATAATATTATATATAGCTCTTAAATTCTACTTGATATGGTTGGAATGTATCCCTCCAAAAATTACATGTGAAATCCTAAAGGTAAATATGATGGTGTTAAGGTGTACACATAGCTCTTATAAAAGTGACACTTGCAATCACTGAATTATTGCCTGATATTTTTCCCCTTGCAAGAATTCAGCATTCATCCCCTCAGGGGATACAGCCACAAGTTTTGTGGAGGAAGCAGGAGCAACATTCACCAGACACGGAACCAACTAACATCTGGGTCTTGAATTTCCCAAGCTCCAGATATGTGACAAACAAATCCCTGCCTTTTATCGATTACTCAGTTTGTGTCATTTTGTTATAGCAGAATGGGATGAACTAAGTGAGCATTTAAACACTGGAAACAATACTAATACTGGTAAGTTTGTATTATTTAATGTAATTATTTTACATTACAGTTGTGGAACCATGTTACCTAGTATTGTTAGATAATTCAGCCTAGTTTGTAATGTCTATGTCCTTCGGTATCCAAGCTCTCCCTCCAGTTTTCCTGTATTCATATAAACTCACAACAATTGTGATAACATGTGTAAAACCTCTGTAAGCTCAATCTAAGCATAGAAATGTAGAAGTGAGTAAAAAGCCCCAATCCTAGCTGAAGAGCTATTGTCAATTGATTGCTGCTGGGAGAGCGAGAGACCATTGCTTTAAGAGTATGATACTGGGTGTGTTAATCAGGCTCCAGTAGAAGGAACCACACCAAAGGGCTTTTGCAGATATGAATTAGATTCTATATATCTTAAATATACATTTTCACATAAATATAAATATTATAGTGCAGGAAACTGTGTGGGAGGATCAGTAAGGGGTGCAGATAGGGCAGGACATTTGACTATTA